GAAAAGTTACTAGTCAAGAAAGACACTTAAATTGGGCAAGAATCAATGTGAAACATGGGGATTGACCATTGAAAGAAGAAAAAATACTTTGTAAACGAATGCCAGGTGAAAATACAGCTGATGCTGGACTGACTGCTGAACAGGAAATTTATCGTATCATGAAGGATGTTATTGATCACTTGATTACAGAATTAACAGGAAGATTTTCTCGCTTACTAGATTTAGAATCACAGTTTGGATTTCTACTAGATGTGCAAAATATTGTTTCTGGAGATTTCGAAGATGGAAAATTGCAAGAAAAATGTTCTGACTTTGCAAAGAGCTATCCAGGTGATATTGATGGAGTAGAATATAACAGAGAAATTAAAGACTGTAGAATGTTGATAAATAAAAGAACACAGACTGATTTTCCTGAACCAATGGTTGCAACTGATTTGCTAACATTTATAATTTCATATGGTGAAGATGTTTTCTCAAATTTAAGAATTGCATTGCAGATTTTGTTAACAATTGGGGTTTCTATTGCTAGATGTTAAAGGTCCTTCAGCAAGCTGAAATTAATTCATACATACTTGAGAACCTCAATGACTCAAGAACGGCTTAGTAATTTGGCAATATTAAGTATTGAAAAAGACGTACTTAATACCTTACATTTTTACAGTTTAATTGATGCATCTGCAGCAGCAAAAGCACGAAAGGTTCATATAATGTAACCATGAATACCAGAATGCTACCTGTACAAGATCTAGTTAAGTACATGTGCAGTTTTGTAAAGTAATACAATTTGTTATTTGTAAACTTAAGTATTATTTTATCAATCTATTTTATAATCCATGTATACCACAAGTGACTGGCTTCTCATATAAAACATAAGTTTCAAAATTAGGGATATAACAGAAATTTATTCTGCATGCTTGAAATATTACTCTAGCTATGTCACTTTGAACAATACTGGATGACATAAATATCAAAATGGTTTATAAATTATGTAAGTACACCTAGTAGGCTATACTTCACTAGTTCCAGGTTTACAGTTGTGATATTGTGAGATGTTATATTGTGACTTTATTTTAGGGTTGTGTAAGGTGGTAATTAATTCTTTATGTTATTGTCATTAAGTGACTAATGAGTCACAAAACAAATAATCAAAACATTTCAGAGGTGGGGGCGCCAAAAGTGTCTTTGCGCCCGAGTGCTGAGAACCCTAGCTACGCCACTGAAATGACTGAATTGTCTTTCTTTAATGTGTATTGAAAGTGATATACTTCGTGGCCTTGATTTTTCAGATATATTGAATGAACTTACAAGTTCAAAAGCACAAAAACTTACATTTAAATCTGTATATTTTATTTTCGTATTGTAAGCATGTATAATAAAATATGTATATATGACTTCTTTTTTATATTTCCAAAATACAGTGGTCCCACTCCCCTATGACTTCCCCGCAGTTACGACTTTTTCACGATGCACCGTCAGTGTTTGCATGGTAATTCTCACATCTCGGCTCGACAAACTCTTTCCCACTTTGAAGAAATAAGAGACCGAGCACTGGCAACCAACAACAAAAAACTTCTGGACATTGCCCTCGCGGGTTTGTCTGCTGTCAAA